CAGCACCATCTCTGCCACCCTGATGGACAGTGGCTCCTGGACAGAGCTCCCCAGGCTGGCTGCCTGCTGGGAAGGGGCTGTGCTGGCTCTGGCCTTGGCACATCTTCCTCCCGGGTAAGCATTATTTGCACTTCTCTGTGCCTGGGAAAGGGCTGGGCTGAGCAATGGGAGGGAGGAGGCTGAAATGTTTGTGATACTGATGGTCTTGGTTTTGTTTTTATTTTTAGAGTTCTTCTCTTCTCTCCTCCTTTGGTGCCAGTCACCATCTGATCCCATACTGAACCTTCTCTAGGACCCAGCCTGTGGGACAACTGTTTTCAGGTGAGATGAGGATATCAAACAAGGACATGGAAAAGTTTTTATGAAGTCAGAACCTGACTATGACTCCATGTTAATAAATCTCAATAGAAAATGGTGAGAAAGCAGGACTACACAAATTCCGATGTTCTCCAGAGCCGAACGGTCCTCATGAAACCTGCCAATAGCCAGAAGGGCTGCAGCACACAGGAGACAACCATGACTGGCTGCTCCCTGAACCTCAGAGCATCCCCAAAACCTCACAGGTTGCCTCCCTCCCTCTTTCCACTGCTCCAGGCTTCCCTCTCCTCTGCATCTTCTCCAAACCCACCTGCGGGCACACGGCTGCGGCTCCATCCCACGCGCTGCTGCCCGGGGCAGGAGCACAGGCTTTGATTCGTGGAGCGTGGCCCGCCTGTGCTGTGCTCAGGCCTGTTGCCACGTGGGCTCCCTGGCCAAGGGGCTGGCACGGAGCTGGCTGGGGGAGCATCAGCAGGAAATGGTTGTGCTGTTACCTGTGTGCACAGCCGAGCGCAGGAGCGGAGCACACGGCCAAGCTGCAGCCCCTCCGGTGATGTGCCTCGTCCTCCCCCTCTGCTTTGGGGCAGTAAATCATTCAACATGGAATAAGAGCTGCTCAAACTGAGGAAGAATGGCTCCCAGAGACAAACCTCACCTGGGAAGCCACCGGGAAGCACTTCTTTATTGGCAAGAGTTAGCAATGGGGGATGAAGGGGGATTTGACAAGTCTGACACTGCTCCTCAGGAGCCAGGGGACTCGACATAAAAGTGAGCAGAGAGTTTATACATAACCTCCCTTCCCCTGAGGATCTGTCATTGCTGAAGCTCTGAGCCAGAGACCACCACGGAGGGACAAGCAGTACACCCACAAGCCAGCTCTGAGGAGCACGACAGGGCCAAGTGCCAGCTCTCCTCCTTCTCCATCAATCACCAGGAAGAGGGAGACAGATGTCTCCCCAAGGAGTTTGGAAGGAACAGGATAAATCAGGTCCCTGCATATACAACAGGGCAATTATTTACGGATCATCAAATATTGGCTCTAAAAACCCCAGGCATTAAAGAGCAGCCTGTGCCAGGGTGTGTGTTTACCTTCTGCCTGCACCTCACAGAGCAGGAGAGATGGGTGACAATCAGCATCAGCCATGCCCCAAACCCATCACTCCTTTCCAGCTGGTCAGGGCAAAGGGACCTACTCTGACATGGTTTTACCACCTTCTCCCTGGGGAATTGAGCAGGAAAGGACAGTCCTGGCTCACCAAGCATGGCAGGATAACAGTGCAGCAGGTATGGGTACGGACCCGCTGGGATGTGCTGGCTGCAGGGATATTGTGTCAGAGCACATGAAGCTGCCCCAAGCCAAAGAAGGAAGGGTAGGTACAACCTGATCTCAGCCACTCTCTGCCTCAAGGCTTTCACCTCTGGAAGACCCTGGTTCAGTTTCTGGCTGAGCTTGGCCATCCCCTGACAGGAGCAGCAGCAAGGTGGCAGCAGGCAATGCCTTGTGCGATGCCCTTATAAGAGCAAACTCGAGCTCCTGATCATAAACGAAACCCTCCTCTTTCATTTACTCATCTGGCCTGGTGGTTCTGAGACTGATAATGCTGGTTTCCTTTTAAGCAGAGGCCAGTCATAAATAAAATAAACCAGGCATGCTTTGTGTTTCCATTCCCTTGCCTTTCATCCCTGCTCCTCAAAGCCGCGGAAGGGAAGTCCTGAGCAGGGAGCAGCAGCCGGGGACAGCAGCAGCTCCAGGCTTGGCCTCAGTTGCACTTGTGTGGGTTCATGGCCCTGTCGAGGGGTGGGATCACCTCCCCCTTTCCACCAGAGTGGGAAAGAGCAATGAGAGGCAGAGACCTCACTTGCAATGGGTTGCATTCACATCACTGTCCAGGACAGAACCAGGCTCCTGTCCTTACCATCCGCAAGAATAAAAGCAGAATTCCATACCCAGCAGCTACCCTGACAGCTGCTGGGGGAGAGAACATGCCCTTCCCTTCCCCAGCACCAGTGCCTAACTGGGAGGATGATGGGATGTGCTAACAGGAGCCCAAAGGATGGAAAATTTGACAAACACATCGTTCCCAGAAGCTGCCAGCGCCGAGGCCGCTCTCGTTAGCGGGGCTGACACCGCAGTGAGGGGCAGGAGGCTCAGCTGGCCCAGCAGCGTGTGCCAGGGTGTCAGCTTCCCCTGTTTCTCTTGCCACCTTACAGGGTGTGATGTTTTCCTTCGGTGCTCTCTGATGAGCTGCCTCGGGATGCTTGGGCTGAGCAGCTGCACGGGGCTGCTGCCAGAGAGCCTGGAGTTTCCTTACAGCAGGGATGAGAGCTGCAGGCTGCAGCACTGACCCCTGTCCCAGAGCAGCAGCAGGTGTTGCATCAGACTCTTCCAGAGTTAGAGGAGAGTTAGAGTTAGAATCATGTGTGAATTTTGTTATGATTTATCTCAGGGATTTGCCTGCACTCTCCAGCCCTCTCCTGGCCGGTTCCAGAAAGCACAGCAGCGTGAGATTGCAGAAATAGAGATACCACAGTCTGTGGCACCAAAGTTTAACTCACAAAGATTTTGTGGTTATTTTCTCTCCCATACTAAGCCTGGAAGTGCATTCACACCATCCAGCCCTGGCATAGCACAGACACAGCCAGTCCCTTGTAGACAGCAGTGCTGGAGAGAGATCCCCACAGCCAGTCCCTTGTAGACAGCAGTGCTGGAGAGAGATCCCAGCTTATGACAGAGCCATGGATCTGGGGGAAAGGGAATGGGGGAGAGCCAACAATCAACATCCCAAACCCTTCCTGGGGTAACACATTCCTAAAGCAGCATGGCTGGAGCACAGGGCTGACCCCTGTTTGCACGGGGGAGTTTTAGGAATTCCCTCAAGAAGATGAAATGGCTGCAGAGGAAGTATAAATACTGCCAGGCAGCAGATAAGAATGTCAGGAGAAGCCGTGGAGAGAGGTATGCACTGGGGAAATCACAGCCCCTGATTTGGTCTGATGGGAAAAGTCTCTCTCTGGATTTGGGATGACCCAGACTCACCCTTTGAGAAGGAGCTGAGCCTGCCTGAACACAACCTGCTCTGCCCAAGCCTTACCCCCATCCACTGATGCCATTAAAATAATTATTTTAAACTTGACTTGACACTTTAGCTTGCAGACCCCTTCTTTCCTACACACAGGACAGCAGTTCTGCCTGGTGCTGCCCATCATCACTGTGAGTATCTCAAAATCAGCCCTTTCTTCCTGCAGTCCCTTGCAGGCAGCAGAAATGAGCAGAGAGTGATGATTTGGGGGCTGAAAGCACAATATTGGGTTCAGGCCATAAGAAGGGGAAAGATGAAGCTCGACAGATTGGAGGCACCAATGTCCATCCTCCTTCAGCAGCCCAAGCAGTGGCAGGAGGGATGTCCTGGCCCTGTCCTTCCAACAGCACCTCGGTGCCTCTGCCGCTGGCTCAGGGCTCCCTTGCACGTCCCAATGCTGCCATCTGTAGCACAGAGCTCTGCTCCTGCTCCCCAGCACAGCTCCTGCAGAGCCGGGGGCAGAGAGACCAGACCAGGACACAGCTCAGCTCCACAAGGCTTGGCTTTCTGAGAGTCCAAATGGGCAAATCCTGGCCTGGGACTCAGCCTTTTCAGTCCCAAGAGACGCTGTTGGCTTCTGTGCCTGCTGAATTGCATTCTTAGTTGTCTGCCTAGGGCACCAGAGCATGGAATAGCAGTTATCATTCTGCTTATCTGCCAGAGATAAAAACAATATTAAATAATACCAGCACTGTGGCCTATACATTAAGGGGATTTTTTTCCATGAAAGCCATGGATTCCTGTAGGACCAGCCAAGGACCATCACAGCCTCCCATGCAGACAGGGATGGGGACAGTGCTTACTGTTTTTAGGACATTTACACTGAGGAAAGGAGGGGGATGCACAACCACCCCTCCCTTCCCTAGCTTAGTTTCACAGCAGCACATGCTGCCTGCCAGTGTGAAAAACACCTCATCACTGAAATTCATTTCAACACTGCTCATTTCGTGGTGCATTTCCGTGTCAGGAAATATTGGACAAAGGCTCACTCACCCTGCTCCCAAATCCCTGTATTGTCCCCAGCAGGGAAGGGAAATGCTGGACTGGGGCATGCTGAGCTCAGCATCCCCAGCCTCACCCGCCCCGGGGCACCACGAGGGGGAAAAGCGACTGTGACAAAGCTGCCATCAGCTCATTTCAGGCCAGGCTGTGACTCACAAAGAGAGAGACAAGATAACATGGAGGAAAAGCAATCTGCCATGGTCAGGGTGAAGCCGAGTCCCTGTTGGAGGCACCATTTCTCCTCTGCCACCTCCCTTTGCTCTGGACCTTGGGGTGGCTGTGACTCCTGGTATCTCCCTCATCTTTGGGAGTTCCCATCTTCCCTTCACACCTTAACCACATGTGACCCCTCTGGATCCCAGGGCTCCATGGTGTCAGAGCCCAGGACGGCGGGGCTGGATTGGTCCCACACGCCTGACCGGGCTGACCCTGCAGGGCTCAGCGGGATTTGCTGCTCCCCATCCATCCCAGCCATGCCCAGCGGCTCTGACAGGACACCTCAGCCCACTGGTGATGCCAATCCCTGCACACGTGGGCTCCTGGCCTGGCTATAAAACCCCTCTGTGCTGCAGCCAGGCCGGGCTGCGGGGCTGGCGAGCCATGGCACTGCGGGTAAGCGCTGGGGACAGATGTGGCACTGCCCGGGCTGGGGGTGACAGCACGGCCCTGGCAGAGGGGACAGGAAGGAGGAAAAGAAGGGCCAGACAGGTGGAAATCCTGAATAAAACAGGGGTGCTGTTTACAGTGCTGCCACTCTATGTCAATCTGGTCCAGGGTACTGCAAAGCTGAGTTTCACAGTGCTCAGTAAAGGGATACAGGACAGATTTTGTTATACCAGGGCTGGACTGGGGTGGTGCTGCCCTAATGGCAGCAATTGTCACTTGGAGGGCTTTAGCTGAGAGCTGTGTGCTGCCCTCCATCTCTGCTGGGGCATCCAGCAGCAAAGAGGGAGCAGCTCTCTCCAGAGTGTGTCCTGCTGGGGCTGGTGTAATGATCACAAACTCAGGGTCAAGGCAAGGGGAACCTGGGTGCTGCCATCACCACCTGCTCTTTGGATCCAGAACTCACTGTCTGTGCCTCACAGGGCTGAACACTGGTCACAGCCTTTCTGTGGCCATGTGGGGTCCCAGAGCTGCCCTCCTGAAGCAGCCAGGCAGGAGGGTATGAGGTTGGTCATCGCTAACTCCTGCCCAAATGTCTCATCTGCTGCCCAAAAACTGCATATCCCAAAAAAGCATTGGAAATAAGAACTCATGACAGAGAAAGAAACAGGGGAGTTGAAGTCCTGACCTGTAGGAAGGGACAAACAGGCACAGAGCTGCCAAGGCTGGGGAAATTTTCCTGATGGGAATAGGTTTGTGAGAGGGGATGCTCAGAAATGCAAGATCATTAGAGTGCTGAAGGAAGAAAAAAATAAAAAAAAAATAAAAAAATGGGGTGAAATGGCAAGAACTTATTAAAATGAGTTATTTAATAAAACTATGAATTATTCAAAAAGAAACATTTTCCAGCTCATTTTATGCGAGCTTAACCGTGTTGATGGGGAGAGCACGTGGAACAGGGATCAGGCAGGAACTGGTGGGAAGAATCAGCCGTGTAAAGCTGGATGAGCTCAGACTGGATGTCACTTTACACCTGTTCCTCTGCTTCAAAGCATCACATGAAGTTTTCTGCTTCAGATTTTGTATTGCTCAGGTGCAGAGAGAAGCAGAATATCTTTGTGTCCTGACAACAATGAAGGCATTCAAATTCTTCTTTAATTTTTTGCTCTTGGATCCCGCTCAGCTCTTTACAAAAGACCTCAGGGACAGCAAATCCCACCTCATCAACTGGATGTCATAGAGACTTGATTTCTTATCAGTTTAGAGTCCCTAATATTATTTAGGAGTGAGAAAAAGACGGGGATAGAGGGTGTGCCTGTGTGGGAAAGGGAGAGAAGGAGGATGACAGTGAAAACGTGAGAAAGAAATGTAAGGACTGAGTTGGGAAGTTAATTTCTGCCACCTCGCTGTGCCCTCCTCCTCGTCTGCAGTTTGAGGCCCTGCACCCAGAGGGAATCTGTCCTGGATGGAGCATCGTGGTCAAGGGTGAGACCAGCTCCAGTTCAAGCATGTAAGGACATGCTCTGCTCCCAGCTCTCCTGGCTCACAAGGACCTGAGACATCATTCACAGCTCCCCATCCCTTTTCTCTCACTGTCTTAGGTTTGAAATTAATTTGCTCTGTGATCCTGGAGATCAAATCGCTCTCCACTTTAACCCTCGCTTCTCCAGCTCCAGAATCGTCTGCAACTCCTTCCTCAACAGCCACTGGGGGCAGGAAGAGGTTAACAACACCTTCCCCTTCAGAGCAAAGGAGCCCTTTCAGGTAACCCCGTGTCACTGTTAGCATTCAGGAACACACAACAACAGAATGATTTTATGAAGGAGTTTTATTAAAGAGCTCTGGGTGTCAGGGGTACACAGACCCAAATCTGACCAGACTTGGTTTTGAGTTGAACATGTTTTTATACTCTATCATTATATAACTTACATATTAATTATTAAACTTATATTGTTTTATTGTATGCATTGGTTTTACCCAAGTATGAATTTCTCACGATCCCCCTTCAAACCCCTAACATAGTTTGTCATGATTCTTTAAACAATAATTATATCTAATCACATCTAACAAATATTTTATTTATCATATACCGATTACACAGGTGCAGTTTCACATGATATGAGCAAGCATGAGGTCTAACATTTCCCAGGGCTTACTTTTCCCAGGATTTTCCAAGCCTAACTTTTTTTTCTAACTCCCTGAATTTTCTATGATTTTAAAATCTTTTACTATCATCACCCCCCAGGTCCCCTCAGATGTACCAGGAATAACCCAGACAATATTAGGGTGCTCCCCATTGCCTTTCCTGCCAGCACCATACTCAGCAACATCCCCTCTCTGGCTTTGTCTCCTGTTAGCAATTCTGTTATAACCTGGTGATTTATAACCAGTTCTGGCACAGACACGCAGAGCTCAGATAATCCCTGGACACTGCATTTGTTTTCAATTTAGGCTTTGCATTACCAGAAGATTTTGTTATCATGAAAAGAAAAACTCAGTTATTCCCTCTTTTTGCCCAGAGTGGGAGGGAGCAGTGTGTGTGTGTTGGCTCTGGCAGGAATTTAAGTAGGTGGACAGATCCAGCAGCTCCCTGAGATGACAGAAGCAAGGTCCAGCAAGTCCCCATGAACATAACAGTCTCTCTTTCAGGTTGAAATCTACTCTGATCAGGACTATTTCCACATTTTCATCAATGAAAACAAAGTCCTGCAGTACAAGCATCGGCAGAAGAATCTTTCATCCATCACCAAGCTGCAGATTCTCAATGATATTGACATTTCTTCAGTGGAAATCACCAAACGAGGTCTTTAATAAAGACCAGCCTTGGAACTCTCTCACAGACCATTCCCCCTTAAGCTTCTGATTCAGCCAAGGATCATTTCCTCCCCATTTTCACATGCCACCAGCAGCCAGGGAGACAGCCACGTGTCCTCATAGTGGAAGGGATGGCCATTCCCATCACAGCCAGCCACACTGCTGACCATAGCCCAGCCCATCAAGGACCTTCTGCTCCCACACCTTAGGGTGCACAACAAGCTTTGTAGGTCTGATCATCTTTTCTGCACATCAAAATCTGCCTTGAGTAGTGTGGACACCTGAATGTTACCTTAGAAATTGTGTTTGCCCAAGAGCAGGGTGTGAATGAGCACCAGTCCTCAGCTGGGCACGTGGGGAATGTGGATGTTAGGAGTGGAAAGGGATGCTTCTTTCCAAGAACTGGGGAAGAATTATACCAGATTTGCCAATAAAATCAACCAAGGAAATCCCTGCTGAGACATCCCTCCCTGGGCAGATCAATCTCATCGTTCATCCCGTGCCAGTCCAGGCACCTGGCATGAGCAAGGGCTGGTCACCAGGCAGGAGGACACTCCTATTTTGTGTGATTTTGGCTCTGGGAAAATCCTGCCTTTTTGTTTTGAGGGCTAATGCAAGGTGAAGGTCTCTGGTTTGCAGAAGAGTGTGACAAAATTCAACTTGCCAGGTGTTGCCAGGAATTCCTTTCACCAGCTGGGAGATGTTTGCTGAGTTCTACTCCTGCCAACTCCAGGCTTCTCAGACAGACCCCCAGAGTGATGTCGTGTGTCAGAGAAGGGCAAGAGTTGAGGAGACACAAAAAAGCAAATGGTTCCTCCCCCATGCACAAGAAATGCAGCTGGACTCCAAACAAAAGGAACTGAGCAAACCAGGGTCTAGAAATTCTGATAAGCTTGGAATGAGAAGAGTGCCTGGGGATATGCATGGATAGCCTCTGGCTTTTCTCTGCTTTATTGTTTTCTTTTCTTCCCCTTTTTCGTTGTCTTTCAAAACAATCCAGTTATCCCTTGCACCCTCTTCTCTTTTCTAGCCTTTTCCTTGGAGCACAACATATCTCTGACTCCTTGGCCAGGCCACAGCAGAGTAAAAAATGTTTTTTTTTACTTTGTTTTAATTACACGCATCATAAACAGCATAATGTCACAGTGTTAAATCTGAACAGGAATTTATTCCAAAAATGCAATTACAGCTGCCCCCTAATCACTCCTTTGTTCCTCAGATATAAGAGAGAACACATTCCTGATGGAAAAGGCAAAGATGATCCTGCCTTGCCAGTCCTTTTCGTTGAAGAGGAATCACTTAAGAAGAAGTCAGCCCTAATCCATCCTTGCCTTTGGATGAGATCTCTGAAGGTTGCAGCTTTGCAACCTTTTGCAGCCTTTTCTCAGTGCTCAAATTGGCCATTCCCAACACTTCCTTCTATTTACAGTTTCAAGGACTTGTGAGGAAGAGGTGGGTGTAGAAAACCATAACACATGATGCCATAAACCTGATATTCGTGAATCTGTTAAGGAGTTTGCAGTGTTTTTCCAGACTATCAAGAACACTAATGGGAAACCATCCTGTTCTTGTAGCAAAGGGCTCATTTGGAACACAAAACGGTGCCAAATGGTACCTTTTTCCTCCAAAAGGAGCAGAAAACATGTTTTGGAAATGGCAGTGGTCTTGATGGCAAGTCAGGAAAGTTGGAGATGATGAGAACTTCCTCTGGCCTAGAATAAATCCATCACCACTGGGACAAGAGAGTTGACTCAAATTCTGGTTGTCGTGGTATAACCCAAGGCTTCAACAAACTTTGCTCTCATGGACATGCCTTCAGCAAAAAAGGCACAAACCCAGGCAAAGCCCGGCCTGCTGGGAGCTCTGTGACATCCATCTGATAATGCTGAGCAGCATTTGAAAGAAATTCTCCTTTCTATTTGTGCTTTTCTGGGGGCTGATAAAGACAGATCATTTTTCACAGAGGAAAAGTGACGAAATGATTTATAAGGGTAATATTTTGTACTTATATGGCCACCAGCTGCATCCATAGCCACTGCTGCAAAAACACCCCACAATTTCATTGTTCCCCAGAAACGAGCATAAAGGACCACAGACAAACTGGGAAAAAGCCTTTCAAGTACAAATAAATAAAGAGATGCCACAAAAATCAGGCAGAGACAGAGATTATGCCCTGGACACATCACCCCCAGCTCCTGCCAGCAGCTGATCTCACTCCATTGCCATCCTCACCAAGAGAGCCCAATCTCTCCTGACACATCCCCAGCTCTGCTGCTGCCTTCAGGGTTTTATCTGCTGCCTCCTCCAGCCAAAACACAGCCAAGGGTGAAGGGGGTGGAAGAGCAAGAGAGGTCTGGGAATCTACTGCTGGAAGCAAAACTTCAGGGCTGGCTGTTTATAGCTGTTTTGCACAGTTTTATGGGGAATGAGATGCCCTCCAAGTCTGTGACCCTCATCTGTCCCTCGAGGAGAAACTCCAGAAAAAAATTAAGCCTCACAATTACAATGGTCAATTAAACTCTCTGGAGCAGGCCTGGAATGCCAGACTTGCAGAGAGGCATCATGTGCTGGTACTGAGGGGATCAAAGAGAACAAATTAATCCATTCTTCCAAATTTCAACCAGCCTTTCTGTTCATGGTTGAAACTGGGGGCAGAACTGATAGAAACAAGCTCCAGCCCAGGGTATTTTTGAAGAGTGAAGGTCTTTTGAAGGGGAAGGAGCTGCAGCAGCTGGGGGTGCAGCTCTGGAAGATTCCACCAGAATTTCACTGCCCAGCCTCAAGATTAAGCTCCATTTTTTAGCTGTGGCCAGGTTCTGCAGAGGAGCCAGCTGGAATGTCCCAGAGAGAGCACTGCTGTGGGGTGGGATAGGGACTGTCCCAGTCAGGATCTGCAGATAAAGCAGCAGATGCTGCTTGTAAGACTTACACAAACCAGGAAGGGAAACCTACACAAACCTGGGAAAGAGAGGTGTCTCTCAGGAGGCAGAACTGACAGAAGCGATGGCCTCCCACGTTTTCCCTTTCCCACCAGTTCTCCTCATTTGGACTGGGTCTGCAGAGCTCAGAAATGCTCTGGTTCATCCCCAGATCAACAAGGGGAAAGTCAGGCACATAATCCTTCGTGCCTGAGCTGTGCCAGAACTCCAAGGGCCAAGGGCCCCTCTGGCAGTTTCACTGATCTCCTGTGGAGCATCTGCTGATGCATGAACTGGCAACCACCACACACCCCAGCAGCAAACTCCAGCAATTCCCTCACAGGCTGGTGAGCAAGCAGCTCCCTCACCAGCCACAGTCACATCTCACCAGCACAGCAGCAGCCTGGGGACATGGGGCTCACTGACACCGTGCCAGCCTCAGCAAGCAACAGCTGAATTTCAGCCTGGGCCCTGCCTGCAGGCAGGAAAGGTGGGGAGTGGGGGAAAAGGGCAAGGACTTGTTGCAAACCCAGTGACAAAAAATTTTGGGGAAGTTTGAAAAGAAGAAAGCCACACAGGCTGCATCTGCCCCATACTCACTTTGCAACTTGATACCTTTTCTTTCAACATGACCACCCTGCTACAAAAAAACCCAAACCTAGCAAACTTGATGCTGAGGGTCTAGCTACTTTCTCAATTCTAGAAGGCAGCTCTGGTGAAGAAAGGCAGGAGGAGGACAGTTGTTAACCATTGAACTAAAAATTCCCTTTCTCCTCCCTTTTTGATGCCCCCCTGAGCATCTCCTGATGGACAACATCTGGGCTGCAGCAGAGATTTTCCTCACTCACACCAAGCAGCTGTGTTGTGGTGTGGTGCAGCTCAGTGACCCTGGCCCCTTGTCTATGGCATCTCTAATTTCCCCCATTCCCCAAGGGCTGTTTTCCTAGCACAGAAATACCTGCTAGAAGTGCAGACCTTATCAGCAGGGACTTTCTGCATTGCATCTCTGAGTCCTTATCTAAGAGGTTGTTTTTCCAACCCCTGTGGGCTGTCAAACTCCTTAAATGCTGGGGAGTCACAGGTGTTTGCTAGCAGGACTGAGGAACATGGAGGGCAAATATTCTGCCTTTTTCTGAAGAGTGTGAGGAAAATAAAAACAGAGGAAAGGAGAAGTAACTCAGTTCTGGTGGGGGAGAGGAATTTCTGAGGCTACAGGCAGCCCCAGAATGCAGCTAGAAAAGAGTCTCTCCTGGAAAGCAGAGGGATGTTTCTTTCGGTGCAATTAAAGAGAAGTTTGTAAACCATTTTAACTCACAGCATCTCCATCCAGAGCCAGCTCAGACAGAAAAGCACACTTCCCAGCCCTGATTTTGTATCTATGGTGGCAGGTTCCAGCTCCAGACATGAAAGGCTGGAGAAGGATTATTTTCTGTAAGAAAGGCTCTGGTCTAGAAGTTGAAGAATTGGAAGCTGATGGTATCATTTTATTTGGCAGCTGGGTTATTGTGCATCAATACTGCCTGAGGAAAGAGTGACAGATATTAGCCTGATGTCCAGATTTGCTGGCCTTCCAGTCCCACAGTCTGTCCAAGACCCTCTTGCCAAAGCTAGATGCAATTTATCATTTTATTTCTTCAAGCTATATGAACATCAGTAGCCAAATCTCTGGTTTCAGGAGAGCACAAGACAACAACCTACAGAGATCTGGATGTTTTCTCTGCACCATCACATTATTGTAAGAGTTTTGGGGTCTTAAAAAGCACTTTAAAATATCCAAGTAAACTATAAAAAGAACTATCATAACACCCTTGTGCAGGTGAGGGAACCAAGGCACTTGCAGGAAATGAGAGCAGAAAACGAAGGAGGGAAGCAGGAGTTTTTGTTTCCAGCCTGCTGCTCTCACCCTGACCCTGGAGCCTATGGGTAGGTGGGGCTGGGGCTTTTCATCATCCACCAAGCCTTAATGAGCCAACAGACCCTGTGATGAACCCCTCCAAGCTGCACATCTGAGCCAGCCCCTTGTCCCCAGTGAGGCCCAGGGCTGCTGAGCAGCTCACCAGCCCAAGGAGTTTCCATCCA